GTCCATAACTCTCACCTGATCATCTCAGAGGTGGCAATCAAATGGACTAGTAGAGTTCGGAGGGATAGTTGTAGTGGTGGCAATCGAATGGACAAGTAGAGCTTAAAGACCGTCTTCATTCCTAGGAAAATACCATCAATCAAGAAAACAAAATTAACTTTGATATTGCAACAAATACTTTGCAACAGAACTATTACTAGCTAGAATAGCCTATGTCACTAAAAAAATAAATATTCTAAGTTTCTTCATAGTAATAGTGGATTTTAATAGAAGAAACTGAATGCTAGGTAAGCCTAAACCTATATCTGACCCTATAAGGTACTACCATTTTCTAATAAGAAATTTCATGAAGAAAAGAATGTCGGCACATAGAGGCACAAGATAAAAAGAATCAGTTCAATCGGAAAGATTGAAATAATGAAAATGACGAGATTATGAGTATAGACCCGTCGATTTTACACAATTCGGTGCAGCCACTATGTTTTTGCATAATAGACTTTTCATACTATATAAATTAAACACAAACCATATTATTAGGTTAACATTCCTATTTGCCCAAAAAACTGAACAATAGCCACATATGTTTGGGCATTTGACCTTATATGTAACCACCCAGCCTTCAATTTTATGTTAGTCCACTCCCCACATTCATATAGCACTGATTTACACTTCCGTTCTAGCTTTCTATCAAACAGTTAACCTAAAGGTAGTCCTAATATGGAACAAGGACACATATGGGCTAGGTTATTACACTCCGCCCTCCACCCCCCACCCCCAACTGGTTGACATCGCATCTCACCGATATTCAGTAGGCGAATACCAAGGATCTCCTCTCTGTGTTACGACATTGCTCCATCTCTCCTTCACGGGCCAACATGTACACCTAGGATCTCCCCTCAATACTACGGTGATGTGCCATGTCCCCTTCATGGGTCAACATGTACGCACACCTATGAAACCGGTGCTACAGCGCTGCGCCATGTCCCCTCCACGGACCAACATGTACGCGCACTTATGCAGCCCAGGATCTCCCCTCGTTGCAACAATGTTGCACCATGTCCACTCCACAGGCCAACAGGTACACCCAAGATCTCCCCACGATGCTTCTATGATGTGCCATGTCCCCTGCACAGTTCAACATGTACGTACACCCATACAGCAAGTGCTATGGTGTTGCGCCATGTCCCCTCCATAGGCAAACATCTACACACACTCGTGCAGGGTCTCCCCTCGGTGCTACGGTGTAGCGCCATGTCCATGTACGCACGCCTGTGCTACCTAGGGTCTCCCCCTTGGTGCTACAACGCTGCACCATGTCCATGTTGTACGCACACCCTGTAGCCTATGATCTCCCCTTGGTGCTACGGTGTGGCGCCATGTCTGCTCCACGGGACAACATGTACGCACCCCATGCTACCAGTGCTACGGCGCTTCACCATGTCCCCTCGACGGACCAACATGTACACATGTTCGTGCAATCCTGGACGATCTCCCCTCAATGGATCTATTCTTGGTGCTAGGGTATTGGGCCATGTCCCCTCCACAAGCCAATATGTACCAACACCCGTGTCTGCTAGTGCTACGGCACTGAACCATGTCCCCTCCACATGCCAACATGTACATACCCCCGTGCAACCAGTGCTACGGCATTGCACCATATCGCTCCACAGGCCAACATGTATCCACACTCGTGCAGCCTAGGATCTCCTCTAGGTGCTACGGTGCTGCACCACCCATGCTACCCATCTCCCCTTGGTGCTACGGTGTTGCACCATGTCCCCTCCATTGGATAACATGTACACGTACCTGTGCAGTGGGGGTTGAGGCTCTAATAGCACCTGTAACCATCCAACCGCCAAATTTGCATTAGTCCATACTACACACTAAGTGGGCCTACATTCACATAGCACTCCACTTACACTTTGGTCCTCGCTTACTATGGTTGGAGTGAACTGTGTATATAAGCTGGCATAAACTTATCTAAACTTTCTATATGGGACTATTCCTGACAAACACTTAGCGGGACCAAACTGGAATAAGGACATGCAAAACACACTAGATACATTATACTTCTTGGAAGTTATATGGACAAATATTTATTAGATACAGCCCATACACTCTGGAAATTATATTTCAACTTTCAGAATCATGTTTATTTTTTGTTATGCTGCATCTCATTCACACATGTCTTGTTGGAGAATTCCACCCAAATGTTTTCTTTTGTAAGATAGCTATGTAATATGTGTGATTTGGAACCCTAATTTCTATGGGCCCTAGACTGATGGGAATTGCTAAAAATATTGTCTCAAGTTTTTGGTGGAAAACTTTCTAATGTAACTATAGTATATAGTGTAACTGCATTGTAACTTTATATAACTTTTTCTACAAGTTACATGTGTTTTTAATACTTAAATTTAAGTTATATAAAAGTTACAATAAAGTTATACTATATAAAAAATTATACTATTGTTAATTTTGAAAGTTTTCAAACCAAAAAACTTATGGTAGTTTTTTAGATAGTCCCATATTAGCTATGTTGAATATAAGCATAGGCATTTCTTCATTGACTTGCGTTGCACATATTGGTCATAAGATGTAGGGTTTATCCCTTTTCATATAATGTATAGAACCCACCAACTTGATGGCATACACAAAAGATTGCTTTTGCAATATTGATTCTCCAAAAGTTTTAAGCGTACTGGAAACAAAAAAGGAGAAACACAGCTTCAGAAATTCATTGTATGAGCTAGTTTATGAATGACACAGTCACACAGACAAACAACGCATAACAATCTTGTTGCTTGTCTTTGTCACAGCTACTAAGCATGCCTTCAAGAATATTTTGGTCAGCCTCCCAAAGCCAGGTGGTGGTGAATATGGGAAGTTTTACAGCCTTCCTGCACTAAATGATCCAAGGATTGGTAATTTCTATATACATATGCTTGGTTCTGGAATTATACAGTCTCCTCCTAGCTAGCTATACTTTGCAATACATTCCTATATTGATTGTGCCCGGTTGAGCCTGAGTTCTTACAGACTTCAAACATTCTAATTCTTATAGATGTAATTCTTACATTGATTGTGCCATGTTCAACTCTGGCGTCACTAGTACAGAACCTTCCATCTCTGAAGGCCTCTAGCATGCTTGGAATTAGCGGGCCGTCACAAGTAAGTCATCTCCATCGGGCCGAAAAAGTGCCCGATTGAGATAACTCAGTCCCGTCACGGATGACACATATCAGTGACGGGACGTAATTTAGGCCCGATTGAGATAACATTTCATATCTCAATCGGGCCTAAACTTTTATTTTGGTCATTTTTCTATATAACTTTTTTTTACAGTTTGAATTTGAATTTGAAAATATAAAAACTTCAAGACAACATTTTCAAATACTAAATGATTTCAACTAAAAAAGTCATCAACAACAAAGTTGTATAATTCATCAAGATCTATAACTTTTATTTTGGTCATTTTTCTATATAACATTTTTTGAACAGTTTGAATTTGAATTTAATAATATGACAACTTCAAAACAACATTTTCAAACACTAAATGATTTCAACTTAAAAAAGTCATCAACAACAAAGTTGTATAACTCATCAAGATCTATAATTTTTATTTTGGTCATTTTTCTATATAACTTATTTTGAACTTTTTGAATTTGAATTTGAAAATATGACAACTTCAAACAACATTTTTAAATACTAAATGATTTCAACTAAAAAAGTCATCAACAACAAAGTTGTATAACTCATCAAGATTTATAACTTTTATTTTTGTCATTTCTTCATCCAACAAAGTGTTAGTATCATTGTTCATAAAATTTACATATCTTTGTAATGTTATGTGAATGTGGTTGTGTTAAATATATTGATGGTTGTGTATGTGAATAAATATAGAACTTCTTCTCCGGAAGCCGATATCCAAATAACTCTGAGGTTAAGCGTGCTTAGGGTGGAGCAATTCCCGGATAGGTGACTGACTGGGTGCACACGAGTGAGCACAAAGTGTGCAGAAAAGACGGGCCTGCTGGCGTGGCTAGCAAAGGCTTGAGGCTAGCCAAAAAACAAAATTTATTTATTTATTGATTATACTCATCCGTGACGGGCTATAATTTAGGCTCGATTGAGATGAGAGTCATCCGTGACGGACTATAATTTAGGCGCATTAGAGATGAGAGTCATCCGTGACGGGCTATAGTGTTGGCCCGTTAGAGATGAGAGTCATCTGTGATGGGCTATAGTATTGGCCCAATTGAGATGTGTGTCATCCGTGATGGTCGGATGCCCGATTGAGATATTTTCTCACATCAGTGACCTTTGCTTAGTGACGGGGACCCTGCCCGAAAGAGATGAGGCTTTAGGCCCGTTAGAGATAACCGATCCCGTTCTAGTGCGTGTTACCTCACTTCCTTTACCGGATCGTTCATTTGCTAGCTTTTTTTTTTACGAAAAACAGCAGGAAAGACTGCTAGTTCTTTACATTACTTAGCTGTACAGTTTTTTTTTTCTCAAATACGCTAAAGAGTTGTGTAATAGTTCATTAAGATAGGAGGGAAGCAAAAGCATCCCTCACCCTACAAACGTACAGGACTTACGTTTACAAGAAAAATAAAACAAAACTTATCCTGTTTTTTTAACAGTTTAATTGTCCCTTCTCACGAAAGCTAGATTGTTCACAATAATGAAACTTTACTTATGAATATATTTGCATGAGAAGATGATAAGGTGCAATCACTTAGAGACCTTTATTTATTTTGTGTATTTGTAGAAATTGCGATGGTGTACTTTGTGCATGTCCATTAAATTTGATAATTGTTTTGAAACTAAACAAAAGTCAATTTTCTCCTCTATCAGATAAGCTTCCTTACTCTATCTGTGTTCTCCTGGAGTCAGCTATCCGCAATTGTGACGACTTGCAAGTTACAAAGAACGATGTCGAGACAATTATCAATTGGGAAAAGACATCTCCAAAGCTGGCTGAGATACCATTCAAGCCAGCAAGATGTGTCCTAATGGTCTTGAATTGACACATCACACAAAGTATTAGTATTGTTTTATATAAATGTCTTTTGCTTATAATCGGATTTACTCACTAGGACAACACTGGAGTCCCGGCAATTGTAGACCTTGCAGCTATGCGCGATGTGATGGCAAAGTTAGGCTGTGATCCATACCAGATCAATCCATTGGTACATATATCATTCTCATTGGCATCTCAAAAGCTGTTCTCCCTTAATTCTGTTTCATGAAAAATAATTTTTATTGGAGCACATACAGATTCCAGTGGATGTTGTTATTGACCATGCGGTGCGAGTGGATGTTGTGAGATCGCACGATGCATTGGATAAAAACATGGAGCTGGAGTTTGACCGCAACAAAGAAAGGTTTGGTTTCCTTAAATGGGCATCCACTGCTTTTCACAAGATGCAGGTTTTCCCTCCTGGTTCTGGTATTGTGCACCAGGTAATTGCTCTGGATCATATACAAAGAAAATGTATGTGGTTAACATTAGCTAGGTCTTAAGCTCGAGTCAGCACTAATCTAAGCATATCAATAACCTTTGAGAAAATTCCCTCTATGCCCCTGAAAGTTTAGCCAATCCCTTCTACGCCCCCGAGTTTTGTCTACTCCCTTGAATACTCTTGAATTTTGTTTTTGATCTCTGTCATATCCATTCCATTAGTTGACCATTAGTTGATTGTTTAATTCCTATGAAAAGAACCATTTTTCTCTTAAACATGAAGGAAACATGCACTACTATATTCATTTTATTGTACAAGATATTATTCATGGTAATGTTTATTTTTACATAATGACATAAAAATTAATATTTATTTACTTATTAAAAGAGTATATGTAGCATTTTGATGGTAGTTCAACATATTTTTTTTCCTGTTGTATATATTATATAGGAATATATGCTTTCCAAAGCTAGTTCATTATTTAAAAAATGCTACACGTACTTGTTTAATATATATTAAAATTTCTATGTTCAACAAAGTTTTGAATATTATGGTCACAAAACAAATTTCTATAATTCCAACAATATAGTCCATAAATTTCTACATATTCCTCACATATTGAAGGGTAAAACTGACTGCAAGGGTATGGAAGGGATTCAAATCAAAATTCAGATGTATACAAGAGAGTGAGGAATATATAGGGGCATAGAAGGGATCAGCTAAAATTTCAGGGATATGGAAGAAATTTTCTCATAACTTTTGAAACTAGTCCAACAATTTTAAGATCATGTCAACAATTCATAATCTAGTTCAATATTTCTGAATCCTAGAGTTAAGCAATTTCCTGAGCCTAAGTTCAACATCTTATAAAACCTAGTTCAACAAATTTTAATATTTGGTTCAACATTTGCTTAACCTACTTTGATATTATTCTTTTTCTGCAAAATGGAAAGGTAGTTGCCATTTAGCTGAAAATAGAAAGTTGACCCGTTAAAAAAAGCTAGTGCTAAGGTTAACATCAAGTTAGTACTAACTACTTAGCAAAATCCACAGAGTTTTACTCTTTTCATTTATTATATGTATATAAATTTCAGGTAAATCTTGAGTATCTTGCCCGAGTTGTGTTCAACGCAGATGGCATCATGTATCCTGACAGCGTGGTTGGCACTGACTCACACACCACTATGATTAATAGTCTTGGGGTTGCTGGTTGGGGAGTTGGTGGTATTGAAGCAATTGTTGCAATGCTTGGGCAGGTAAATCTCAACTAGAGACCTGCATTCGAGTGTTTATTTCTAAATGACTAATGTTTTAGCACCGTTAACTTGTGTAGGATCGAACAGCAAGAACTAAACCAACCAAATAGGGGTGAATGGTTGTAGTACCTAAAAATTAAAACTTTTAGCAAAATTAAAAGTTACCCACAAATTCGATAAAGATCGGTCTGACCAAGGTTGATATGCCGGTCTGACCGCGTCCGTCCTACCGGTCTGACCTATGTAGATCGCCTGATCTAACCGTCCAAAGCCGCCGCTGTCGCCTATCACCGCCGCCGGTCTGACCGCCGTGCTCCTGCCGGTCTAACTGGTGCGTTGCCGCCGGTCTGACCGTAGGTATTCCACCGGTTAGACCGCCAAACCCAAGCAAACGCAAATTGAAAATCTCTTAAAGTATATTGAAACTTTATTACTTCTATTTGTATTTACAAAGTGCAACAATAGCACTCTTCACAAAAACCTCGATTAAACTCGAAACCCTAACTTTTCTCACAACTCAACTCTCTAACAATCAACACAGGGAGGCCACACCCTCCCTCTCTGTTTATACCCGAGGTAGGTAGCCTCAAGCCATGAACCAACCTTGTACAAGAAGTCCTAATCTCCTAGAAAACCTTCTATACAAGAAACAAACTTTACAAACTCCAATTGTACTAAATTTGGACTCCTTCCAAATTTGACTCCGCATCCTATACGCACACAATATCTCCATCGTATGCCATATGGAATCTCCATCAACCACATGCATTGATCTTTAGCCTAAGCATCCTGCATAATATCGGGATCATCGGGCGTTATCTTCTCCCATGTTGACTCCCGATCCATCACCAGCAACACTCTATCAAGACTCATCTACACATGCATCAACGAACAAAGAAACCATATCCGAGCACAAGTTCTCTCCAACTTAACTCAATGTTAGTATACAACACTATTACATACGCATAGTATCTATCTAGAAATCGTAAATATGAATTATCCACGGATATCCAAAGAAACAACCTGAAACTGAAACCGACATAGGTCGCCTGGTCAGACCGTGGGTTGGCCAGTCTGACGCACACCACAGCGCAGTCTGACCGTACACCACATCCCGGTCTGACCAGACCCAATCTGTCAGCAGTCCTTGTTCATCATCAAAAAATTAATCGTCTCCAAAACCACTTCGCCAATAATCTCCAAATATCAAAACCAATAATCTCATATGCCAATTGTTCATCACAAAATAATAATCAAACACACTTTGATTTTACAACTTGAATTCAGTTGACCAATATGTTGTCATCTTATGTATAGCCAATGGACATGGTTTTACCTGGTGTTGTTGGGTTCAAGTTGTCTGGAATGTTGCGGGATGGTGTCACTGCTACTGACCTTGTTCTTACAATCACTCAAATGCTAAGGAAGCATGGTGTTGTTGGCAAATTTGTTGAATTTTATGGTAAGTATACTAGATCTTGGAACATATGCGCTATATATATATATATATGTAAGAAATATATTTTTGATACAATTTAATTAGTTGTACATACCTCAGTTGTTTTCTCTTTTCTCTCTTCTATTTAGGTGTGGGTGTGGGTGAGCTGTCTTTGCCCGCTAGGGCCACAATTGCAAATATGTCTCCAGAATATGGAGCTAGCATGGGCTTCTTCCCTGTGGACCATGTTACGCTGGATTATCTCAAACTGACAGGCCGAAGCAACGAAACTGTATTGTTCACTATCCACATACTCCTGTACCAATTCCATTGCTTTTATGTCATCATCCTAGGCTTGCTAATCTTATAACCCATTTGGGAGAGCTTCATATTCTGCGATTCTGTTATTCTGATTATGATTCTCCCTAAATCAGATACTGAAGAGAATTGTGGATTCAGTTCAATTAGGCATTTGGCTAGAAACATTGGTTCTAGATCCTGATGGGGGAGCTTAAAGATGAATTGTCTATACAACACCTGTACTAACAAGAGATTTGATTGATAGAAAATTTCTTCTAGCCTAATGTAGTACTAATACTTATGAATATGCACAAATATTTTAGTACAATTACTTACGAAAAATATCAAGCTTCCATACGAGGTTAATTAAACAACACAGTAAGTACATTTGCATTGCATCAAAGACAATATCCATTACAATAATCCACTCACAGATTGAGTTCTTGCACAATACTATGGTTCTATATTTCTAAGAAGTGTTCTTACACAATGTATGCCTACCGGTGTTTATATGATAACACCACCGGGTGGATGGAGACTGGTGGCGACGGCGGTGGTGGCTAGGAGGGAGCGGAACTGCTCAGGCGCAGCAAGTGCTGGCGAGAGTTGGCGGCGGCGAGGGTAGCGCCGGGTGTGGATGTGGAGTGTTATAGACTCATACCCTAGCTTCCGTAACCCTAGTGCGGGTTGCGAGCTCGAGCAATTCTGCCCGAATGGATGCACATGGCTGGAAAGAGGGGTAATTTTCTAGAGAAGTTATGGAGATTTCCATATTTGGTTGGTTTGATTCTCAGGAGAAGTTGTGTTTCCACTGATTCTCGCTTCCTTCATAAAAAAAAGAAATCGATCATGGTTGATTCGGTTTGGAGAGCTCAAGGAAAATTGCCCGTTTGGCTCATCTCTAACTGATTCTTCCGAGAATCACTCCAGACAATCCCTACCAAAAGGTCCTTAAAACAATATGGAAAGTGTTCAATGAGTTATACAAATCCAATGTGTGGTATGTGGTCTATAAGTTATACAAACCCTCTTCCTCATATTGCCATGACGTTTGTCTCACCAGTGTTATGTGTTAAGCCATTTTTTATTATTTTATAGACTTAGCTATCACGTGCACCTATGACATAACCAGGTGTATGCACAACAAAAAGGTATTCAAGCTGTGCAGCTAGAGCGCTTCCCAGCATTCCCTTACCCCAACCTCCTCCCCTCCATAATAAATAGTTCAACTAAAAACTCTAGTAATTTGCCCAGGGGAAAAAAAATCTAGTACTCCCTCCATTCTAAAATATAAGCCACAACCATTCTTAACCCAAAGACCAAGAAATAATTATTATCATCTCATAATTTGAATTACCCGAATAAATAGAATGCATGCACCCAATAAAATTAGATATCTTGATAGTGGAGGGCTTAGATAATAATATTTTAGTGGAAAAAAGGTGCCAGTTAATGACATGCATGCATGCACGTCTTATATTATGAAACAATTTTAAAAAGCAGTTGTGCCTTATATTATGGATCAATAGAGGGAGTAATTTGATGAGTTCTACCTAATTCATTATTATCCTGCATTTAATTTAATTCAGGTGTCAATGATTGAAGCATATCTGCGAGCTAACAATATGTTTGTGGAGCACCATGAGGTATGCCCTTTTTTATTATTGTTATACAACGCTTGAATTTTTCAAACATTTATTGATTAGAGAACTGACATATTTGCATATACGATGGCAGCCTCATACAGAACGAGTTTATTCTTCATATCTTGAGCTCAACCTTATAGATGTGGAGCCTTGCATTTCAGGCCCAAAGAGGTATCTGTCATAATTACTTTTTTTTCCCACTGGACACATAATATCTCTGCTAATGGGGAAGGTGCAATATGCTGAGTTCTTTTTATTTATCATTCTGTAGGCCTCATGACCGTGTCCCTTTGAAGGAAATGAAATCAGATTGGCATGCTTGCCTAGACAGCAGAGTTGGTTTCAAGGTAACTAAGGACAACCTTTGCATTACAAAATTTAAAATGCAGTGGCATTGCTCATCAAAATGCACCCCAAAAAACACTCCAGGGTTTTGCAGTTCCAAGGGAGTGCCAGGATAAAGTTGTGAAATTTGACTTTCAAGGACAACCTGCTGAAATCAAGCATGGCAGTGTTGTTCTTGCAGCAATATGCAGTTCCACAAACACATCAAATCCTAGCGTTATAGTTGGTGCTGGCCTTGTTGCAAAGAAAGCCTGTGAATTGGGCCTTGAGGTTTGTATGTTCTTTTTTACATATAGTTGTACTGATTGTTCTACGCAGGGTTTACCTTTTCGATTTCGAAGTAAAAACCGCTCCTCGCCGGTTTACCGAAAACAAGTAAAAACCGGTCTACGCACAACCACACTTTTCTCCTTCTGTCTTCTCTATCTATTTTCTCTTGGAACTGTCCACATATCTTCTCCAAAAAGTGGTGACTAGTTGGGTTGTGGTTAGCGATGCACCCGTTGTACAGGGAGGGAGAGGGTTGTTGTGGTGACTACAAGCAATACCCTCCTATAATTGAAATTAGAGGTTAAAGTTAAAAATACCATAATAAACACTTTTAAAAAGACTCAAAATACCGAAATAAATGAAGGGTCAGATTTAATTAATATTTACTACACTACTACCACTAGTAGTAAAAGGTACGTAAAAGGGCCGACCCTTCTCGTTATGGCCCCACTATTGTTTTACTGTTTAGGGACACTTTGTAAAACATCTGAATGGGGTATAGAAGTATAAATACCCCATCCATACAGTAGCCCCGATGGAAGAGGAAATCAAAGATTAAGCATTCTCTTGACTATTGCTGATCCTCTAAGACAACAGCATCTGCATTCTCCATATCACGAACCAAAGGCCCATTCAATACTTACTTGGACTCGTATCCATAATAGCCACCTTTTGTGAGTTGTAGTTATAGGTGGTAGCAAGGTTACTGAGGTTGTGGTGAAGGTGTTAGCAACGACATAAGCCATGGTGCAGCCGTGCAGGGGTTTGTCAATAAGGGTTACCGACTTATTTGATCTATAAGTGGATTCACGGGTCGATTTACTTACATCTTTATATGGCTGTTAAGTCTGAAAAAATAGGAAAAGGTCATATATCACAGCGCTCTTGCCACATGACTAGGTGTAGCTTCTTCTTGCACTTCTTACTTTACATTCTTTTGACTGCGGAACATCGCTTTTTTTTAGGTGAAGCCATGGGTAAAGACTAGCTTTACCCATGGATCTGCGGTTACCCGTGAATACTTGAAACACAGGTATGTTTCTAGCATCAATTGGTGTAGTGAAACATGCACAATGCGTTGTCATTTCTGATGGTATGTCGTTGTTTGAATCAAAGTTTGTGATTTTCTTCATGCAGTCACCTTCAAGATTATTTGAACCAGCAAGGGTTTCATCTTGCTGCATTTGGCTGTGCCACCTGCGTCGGCAACTCTGGTGACCTTGATGAATCTGTATCAGCTGCCATAACAGAAAATGGTAACTAACTAAATCCATTTTTTCTACAAATTAAATATTTTTAACTGCAACAAATTTGTGCTGCTAAGCTTACAGTTTAACCTTGTGCAGATATTGTCTCTGTTGCTGTGCTGTCGGCAAACCGTAACTTTGAGGGTCGCGTGCACCCTCTGACTCGGGCTAATTACCTTGCCTCGCCACCTCTGGTTGTTGCCTATGCCCTTGCTGGCACTGTAAGTACTCCATGGCATTCTTCCACTTTGGTGTGCAGTACACCACTTATTTCCACACAAAGAGCTCGTATAGTCAAATGCTTACATGTGTACTATCCCTTCTGTCCTGTAATAAGATCATTTTTTGTCCTTGCCATTTGTTCCAAAATAAGTTTATTTTTAAGCAAACATTATACCGGAATCTGTGAAAGTAGAAGATAAATGCATTGGGATTTTGATAAAGTGTGAGTATTTCTAGTCTTTTTTTTGTTTTTATATCAGGTTGACATTGATTTTGAGAAAGAACCCATTGGACATGGAAAGGATGGCAATGAAGTTTACTTGAGGGACATATGGCCCACAAACGAAGAAATCGAACAGGTAGGTACCAATGCGTATATAACTTCAACACAGTTTCGAAAGAAGTCAACACCAATGGTATACTTCAGATAGATGTCTCTTGAAAAATTTCGGCTAGTACTTTTCAGAGCTACTTCATTTGTTACTGTTGGTTATTGAAAATAATTTCGGTTGAAAATATTTTTGATGAAAAGTCTAACATAACCAGTTGCACATGACAAATCCAAATAATTAGTGTATATCGTGTATGTATATCCAAATACCAAAAAGGTTTAACTTCACTGATCTTTTTATTTGATTTTCCATTTATTGCAAGTCAAACCTTTTGGTATTAATTTGGTTCATTGATATACACAATTAATATATCAATTTGCAGGTTGTGAAATCCAGTGTGCTACCTCACATGTTCACGCAAACGTACGAATCCATCAAGAGATGCAACCGGAGGTGGAACGAGCTGAGAGTTCCAGGCGAGGCAGCTGCCCTCTACCCATGGGACCCGAGCTCGACCTACATCCGCAAGCCGCCCTACTTGGAGGGCATGGCCATGTCCCCGCCCAGCCGCCCACGCTCGGTGAGGGATGCCTACTGCCTGCTCAACCTGGGGGACTCCGTCACCACGGACCACATCTCCTACTCCGGGAGCATCACGCCCGGCAGCGCCGCCGCTGAGTACCTACGCGCCGCCGGCGTCGCGGATCGGGAGAGGCTCGGCTCCTACGGTGGCCGGCGTGGCAACGATGAGGTGGTGGTGAGGGGCGCGTTTGCAAACGCGAGGATTGTGAACAAGCTTATGAATGGGAAGGTTGGACCCAAGACTGTTCATGTTCCCACCGGGGAGGAACTCTGTGTCTTTGATGCAGCCATAGTACGTACATTATATTGCTGGTGATAGTTAAATAGTACCCCTCTATTTTATACTAATATAACATGTTTTTTTTAACTTTTTATAGAAAACTGTGGCAATATTTACAACATCGAATTAGTTTCATTAAATTTAGTATTAAATATATTCTGATACTATATGTTGTTGTGTTGAAAATGTTGCTAATAGATTTAGTCAAACCTAAATAAGTTTAAAAAAGTCAAAATGTGAAAGAAGGGATCAGTAGTATATATATGTGTCAAACTTATTAATTGCTTGTACAATTATTCCTTTATATATTTCCGTAATGCAGAAATACAAATCCGAGGGTCACAATATGGTAATTGTTATTGCTGGTGCTGAGTATGGGAGTGGCAGTTCTCGTGACTCTGCTGCCAAGGGGCCAATGCTCCTGGTAAGTTCTTAATTAATTATGCCTTACTCAGATGATTTAATAATCCTCTTGCTTGCTACAATGCTACTCCCTCCATTATATTATACCTTTCAGTATTTTCATTTGTTTCGCTATGGATAGAAGAATCTAAGAGCAGCCTAAAATAACACCTTTCTATTCTCTTAGTCCAAGGATAAGTGGCCTAATTATGTAGGCCCCGTTTATATCCAGGGATAAAAAGTTTTGACGTGTCACATCGAATATACGAACACGTATTTAAAGTATTAAACGTAGACTAATAACAAAATAAATTGTAAATTCCGCCTGTAAACTGTGAAAATAATTTAGTAAGACTAATTATTCCGTCATTAGTAAATGTTTACTATAGCACCACATTTTCAAATCATAGAGCAATTAGACTTAAAAGATTTGTCTCGCAATTTACACACAATCTGTGTAATTAGTTTTTTTTCTATATTTAATACTCCATATATGTGTCCAAACATTCGATGTGATTGGGTGAAAAGTTTGTGCGTGGGAACTAAACAGTGCCTTAGGATGTGTCCATTAGCGTATGATTGATTAAGTATTAATCATGATTAATTAAGTGTTAACAATTTTTTACAGCAACTTTCTTATAAATTTTTTTTACGAAAAACACACCGTTTAGCAGTTTAAAAAGCGTGCGCGCGAAAAACGAGGAGAGTGAGTTAGAAACTCAATCAAACACACTCAGCCATGTGCAGCAGAAATGTGACACTGAAGTAAGGGGACACTATTCACCTGAAATTTGTCTTTTTTGTTTCTCATAAACGAAGTTGAGTTTGGAGTTAAGATTTGGTGAGAATGTATTTTATATCTACACCTATCTCTAGTATTTTTTTCATAAATTTACGAAACTTTTAAGTATGATTTTCACGAGTTTTCAACACTTAGCTCATTTTCACCGGATATGCATGTTTCTGTGAAGCAAGAAGAGGATCAAGGAGGAAGGAAATTGAGCGAGTATACATATATGTTGGCTCTCTTCAAGTACCAGTTTGAATAGATTAATTATCCTAGGCTCATTAGGATGGTTAATTAGGCATTGTGTTCATATTACTTTATTATATATGTAGTTATTTTTCATGGAGTCTCGATCGGTGATTTGCAGCATCATTACAACGCTAAGTATTTCCTTAATTAATCTTTGTGGATCAAGTTTGGAGTTGGCTGGGCTTCCAGCCCAGGTGCCAGCGTGCACACACATATATATACACTAGTAATCGTGCAATGCACGTTAGAAAATACAACTTAAACCAAATATATCGCACATATGCAGCAGCCTGATTTGTTTTTGAAGTGAGACTACCTTCACACCGCTGTAGCCAACAATTTCAGAAGGTGAATTTTGCAAGTCGGTAGCAAGGTCCTTGACCAGTGTGAAGATTGCCTCCTCTCAATCATCATTGGCTGCACATAGCAGTGAAAAGAGTAATTCAAAATTGCATATATACCTTGAACCAGCCATCGAATGTTTCTGACACCTCCGAAAGGCGTGAACTTGATACTGTGACATTCTAATATGGACAGGAGCACCAGTATGAAAGATAATCAATACAACAAAAGAACAACATCAAATGATCAATGCAAATGAGGTTCAATTTTTTGTGCGTATTTATTTAACTGTTGTTACAGACAACTGTGGTCTAGAGCTTCCTGCATTGTCCATTGAATTAGCCTGGGGAAAGTAATTAACTAAGAAGTAACATATAAATGTGTTATCAGCTATTTTACATCCGCATTATATATATTAGCACTACACAAGAAAACTTCAAATGTCTAAGCTATCGTACGTGATTGGTTCATAAGTAAAACAGCCTTGCAAATGAGGCTAAATTTGGTGTCTAAGCTATCCTTATAGACAATTGTGATGTAGAGCTTCCTGCGTTGTCCACTGAAGTAGCCCGAAGTAAGTTATTCTTTGAAAAGTAAGATACAAATATACAATTGGCGCACACCATTCAAATAATTAACTGAGATATCAATCAATCAATCAATGTTGGGTTAGAAGCATGGCTTAGGAATGAACTAACCTCATTGGAAGCCTTCATGATAACTACACCAATTTCACCATTTCAGTGATGAGAAAAAAAATCAATTGGCAAGTCAAACAAAGCACTGTAATTATGTAAATCAACGAAGAAATCATCACCTTTGACATTGTCCGAGCTCCATGCAGCAGTATACGGCAGGCGTGCAGCGTGCTGCACAAAGTACTTCCTTGGGTCTGTCAGTTTCACCTATGGATTGAAAGTTTTGCAAAATGAAATTAGTCACCCTGCCTCCAAATGCATCATTGCTACAGCAACCTTAGAGCGAGAAAAATGAAAAAGGATAGCTGCAGCAACCTTAGAGCGAGAAAAATGAAAAAGGAAAATCAGTTGGGTCATGTTCATCAGTTGCATGAAGCAACAGATGGTTCTCTTGGTATCGTCTCATCAGCCAGGACATCAAGAAATGAAAAAAAAAAGGAAGATCAGGCCAGAGAAGCTTGAATAAAACGCAACCAAAATCAAAGTCTTGTTATTGGCAAGGTACATGAAGTATTTTAAGCTGGGGGAGGGTGCATACGAAGGAGCGTATTACTCATGGATCTAATCAGATGCAAACAAGAAAGGAGCAACAACAGCAGAAAACATTCGGCCTTTTGCTCCCCTTTTCCACCAGTGACTTAGATCGCAGGCTGCCTCTATCCTCACGCAGCAGCTTTGGCCCCACGCTCCGCACCGGAGCCCTGCAGGCAAAGCGACGAAGGCATATATGGCGGGTGCGGAGTTTCCGATGGAGCTGTTCGTGGCGACGGCTAGGAGGTATGGCGTCCAGGTTTCTCTGCGAGACAGGGCTCGCAGCGAGGATATGGCAGCACACGGCAAGGAGGTTCGGCCCCCGGGGGGTGCGGAGAGGACAGGGCTTGTGGTGCCGTTACAGGCCGCCGGCAGGGTGTAGCACGACGTGAGAGGAGTGGAGGTGTAGTGGGCGGCTGGAGCCTGGAGGTTGGGGTTTTGGAACCGTGGCACAGGTGAGGCGAGGAGGGCCGAGGCGGTGACTGCGCTGGCGGCGGAGACGGAGTAGCCCCACCAGCACCAACGGAAGAGCGCACCACTGCGACGCCAATGGATGAAGGATGCGCGCAGTCGCACGGAGGAAGCAATCTGTGGAGGCATGACGGATGGCGGCGGTGTTAGCGGGCTAGGATGGCGCGGCGGCGGTGTTACCGGGCGGAGATAGCGCGATGATAGCGCTGATGGTTGTCAGTGCGAGGAGTAGCGCGTCCGCTCATTGGACGAACGGATGAGATGATTTCACTTGGCGGATGGACGATAGGGATTGATCCGGATGATTTGACATGTAGAATTAGAGGTGTACAACTCCTCCTTTATATATATATATATATATATATATATATATATATATATATATATATATATATATATATATATATATATATATATATATATGTATATATGTATGTATGTATGTATGTATGTATGTAACAGGTTATAGAGTAGATGTGGTTTTTTTTTAATTGTTTAGCTAGGGTTTTTTTCCCTATCGTACTGTCGTGATGGTGCTCCCATCATCTCCCTGCTATTTGATTTTTTTTTGCCGCCACCGGTCGGTCGAGAGGGAAGAGCGTGGCTAGAGATCTGTTTTTTCTGGCTGAATTCCTTCGGTTCCTGTGAATTCCAACTCCTTTTCTATTCGTGTATTATTGTTGCACGTACGGGTAGAGCTTAGCTACTAGCATTTGTTGATTTTGGTTGTAAGTGGATATAAGCAGAATCACATCGAAGTCTAGCTAAACTTTTGCAACGTAAACCACTGTCAGTTCTGTTTGTGCTTGATTAACTGAGTAAAGTACTGGAGTTTCACGTGATTGGATTGCTGCATCGTTTTATCTGAGCAAGGATATATTGGTTATATATTTACAGCTGTTGATTTGTACCGTTAAAAAGAGGGAAAATTAGGGTACTTGCCGTCGGGTGCTCATCATCCACATTGGCTCCCAGAGGGAGAAAGAGGTCCTGGTGGAGCTCAGCATCTGTGCGGTTCACCATAGCCAGATGATGATGGTACATCAGGGCTCTCTCTACATACGATTTATAAATACAAGGACTATAATCACTCCTCACTTGTATCAGGAACTATACATACTATACCGACTATAGATCCGTATTAAGGGTGTGTTCGGCATAGCTGGTTCCCAACACTAACATTGCGCACGGAAAACAGAGCGGTCCATTAGCATGTGATTAATTAAGTATTAGCTAACTTTTTCAAAAATAGATTAATTTGATTTTTTTAAGCAACTTTTGTATATAAACTTTTTGCAAAAAATACTCCGTTTAGTAGTTTGAAAAGAGTGCGCGCGGAAAACAAGGGAGGAGTGTTGAGAAAAGGAGGTGTCGAACACACCCTAAGACGGGCTGGGCCTAGTATCTTATCAAGTATGGGAGATGATACAAACCCCATCGAATGCCGATGAAGTGCATTTCAGTTGCATATAGTAGCGGTGGTGTGGAGAGTGTTTGTATTTCTGTTTTCAGGTCCAAGGTAGCGAGCGTAGGGTGGTGTTTGGTACCGCGAGACCGTGCGTGAGTACACCACAAGCTTACCGCACGCATCCAAGGGCTCTGCAGCCGTGTTGTCGCTGGGGAGGTGTGTAACATCGATTACCCGTTCTCTCCTTTGCGGGATTTGTGCCGCTAATCTTGGGGGAGAGATGGAAAAAAAAGAAGAGAGAGGAGGAAAAGAGATGAGAGTTGCTGACATGTGAGCCCCACTTGCTAACTCAGCAAAGTCAACCGTGGTCAACCTACCACGTCAGTGAAAACCACTCAAGAAATCACCAAAGGAGTTGATTTACACCAGTTTTGGAAGATGCGGAAAGCGCTTATACCCGGTTTTGCGGTTGGAGGATGATTAATGAGGAGGTAAGACAGGAGGGGCATAAAATAGACTTGTTCCAAGAAAGAAAAGGGAAATTTTCTTTAGCCCACCAGTCAGTAAGCCTACTCCAGCGTCCAGCCCAACATGTGGAAACGAGCTTTAGGTTTAGACTTTAGAGGCAGCAAGGCCGCACCTCTCGCTCCACTCAGCCGCCGCCCCTCGCCGTCGCCGGCTATCCGCCGCAGCTCGGCCGTCTCCCAGCGCCGTCGCACGGCTCGCCGCCACCCCGCGCCGTCGCGCGGCTCAAGCCTCCCGGGGTGGAGCCCTCGCGCACGTCGTACCCACTCGTCCTCGGCTCCTCGCGCGGTCACTCCTACTGTAATTCGTTTCTCCTGTTTTTTCTTTCCGTTTTTATTTGAATTCCCTTTTGATTTTGGAGGGTTTTTTTTTCTCCCTTTTTTTCCCGTATGGATGCTAAACCCTAATCTATTCTCCCGCCCGCGCGCAGATGGGCGGAGAGGGAGCGGAACGGCGCAGCAAGAAGAAGGAGAAGGGGAAGCGCCAGGAGGAGAAGGCTGAATCGGGCAGTCGCGGCGATGGAGAGGCAGTGAAGCTGGATTTGGCTACAGATTTCCCAAGTAATAGCATGGGGAAGGTTGCAATGGACGTTGAGGAGGCGAAAGAAGTGCACAGGAGGAAGAAGAGGAAGGAGAAGGAGAAGGACCACGGAAAGGAGAAGAAGAACAAGGTCATTGCCGATAACATCGAGGAGGCCTGTGCCGAGGCGGAGCAGGCTGAAGCTTCAGGACTGAAGGTGGAGCAGCACTGCTCGGAGCATGTTCAGGGTGATATGAGCAAATGCGGCTCGGAGGAAGACAAGAGTATTAAGAAAGATAATAAGTTGATGAAGAAGAAGAAGAAGAAAGAGAGAAAAGTGGAGATGGCTGAAGAGGGGCAGATACTTGCTGGTTCTACTGATGAAAATGCAGGCTTGTTGCATGCGGAGATGGGCAGGGGTGAAAAGGAACAGGGTAAGAAGTCCAAGAAGAGCAAACGGAAGCATGAGGATGGTGAGCCTGTGGCAGATGGATCTGCCGGTGATGAAATCATGACCAACAGAGATAAGAAGAGGAGAAGAAAGGAGCATTCTGTTGAGCTGAAAGAGGGTGATCAAGTTAACATATCTAAGAAGGCAGTGAAGATAAAGGGAAACAAGAAGAGAAAAAATGAAAGCGATAAGTTTAATCCTGACTTAAGCACTGATGCACTCACTGGAGAAGATAAGGTTGGTGGAGATGGCAAAAATGATAAGAGAAAAAAGAAGAACGATACATCGACTAGAAGGAATGAGGTTGGTAGGGATGATAAGAATGATAAGAAAAAAAAGAAGAGCAAGGAAAGGAACGGTGGAAGAAAAGGCGAAAAAGAAAAAGCAGCCCAGTCAAAGGACAAGGTTAGGCGGGTGAGCTTTTCTGATGCTGTGGAGGTGTTTAGCATCAACGACGGTGAAGATGAAGATAATGGCAAGAGTGCTGAATCCGAAGTTGTGCATGGGAAACGTTTTACTCCAGAAGAAAACGCGACCCTTATGGAGGCCATCATGAGCTATATAGAGGTTGCCTCTCCTTCGAATGCTTAGCATCTTTCCTCTTTACTTCAATACCTGAATATATGAAAATATATGAAACAGTGACAAGCACACTAAAGTTGAATGAGAACTATGCCACTGACTGTATAAGACAAACCTGGCTGTTCTTTATGACTGATTTTTTCTTGTCTTTATTGCACTCAGATGATCTATTAATCATGTTTAACAAACATGCCAATCCTCTGTCATCAAATTTAAAACATATATTGATGAAAGCATGCACTTTAGCTGTGCAGTTCAACAATCCCTCCGTCCTAAAATATAGCTACTTAGGAAGCTTTTGGAGGGATTAAGGATTATGGTGCAAGGTCAAAACTGCCCATCATTATAGTAGGGCTAAGTAGTTGGTGTGATATAGATTGCTAGGGGTACGATGGAAAAGTAAGCTAAAGGAATTTGAATTTCAAAGGTAGCTATATTTTGGGACGGAGGGAATATCAGAATCCATCTGTTGCATTGTTTATTAATTTTCCATTGCAATAATCTTTTTTTGGGGAAGTTAACAGAAATTTCATGATTTAGCTTGGACACCACTTTGTTGTTAGTAAACTTTTACGCTGTATCACTGGTTTTCAAATATGCTGGTGGTATTCTTTTGGTGTTTGGATTTCATCTCATGATTCTACTAGTCTTTTATTACTACTAAACTAAATGGTGCATGGAAACTCCATGCCTCGCAATATAAAGTTTAAACACATTACATGTTTTATTTTTCATTTTAGATGAAGCAATTGGGAGAGAATGGGCTAGAGATGATTCGAGCTTGTAGTAAACATCCAGAGCTTAAGGGTTGTTGGGCGGAGATTGGTAAGATGAGAACATCTTCTATATCTAACTCTTCACTTTTGTTTCCCTTATGTCTGCTTGTGTTTGTGTTTCCCTAATGTCATTATTCTTTTATCCCTGCAAAGAAAGTAAAATCTCCTTGTTGCCCCAATACTGAAATCTCTTTCATTGCATTGCAAAGTTCAATTTTCCAACAGAATATGCACTTTGCATATATTTTGGAATATCGGCACTGGGAACAGTGAAAAATTGCTTCCCGCTCATTCACTACATCATGTTCACTTTTCCCTTATCTACATGGCAGACAGCATATCATGTTACTCATTAATGCACGACATCCTTTGCAGGAAAATCATTACCTCACAGGCCATTGACAGCCATATACAAGAGAGCACGGATTTTACTCTATAGGAGTGATGAGCGTAAATGGACTCCGGAGGAGTATGAGAAGATTCGCCGGTAATATAAAGCCCTCCTATGGTTGAGCTAATGCAGATTTCTATTTCCTGCATATCGTATTTTCAAAACAATTCCATAGTCCATACTTGCTAATGTTTTGTACTTTCAGCTATACAGATCAAACTATTTTGAAAAGAGCTACACAAATCAAAACCTTTTTCATAAAATGGTGCACAAATCAATCATCTAGAAGCGTGAATATCAGTCCTCAAATATATCTTGAATGTTCTGTATGTGCTCAAGGATCCACAGAGTTAATTTGTAGAGCATCACCCAATTTTTGAAGTTAAATAAATTCAGATTCAATTTTTGAAGTTAAATAAATTCAGATTGCTTGTATGGTAATAACTTATGTAGCTTGCTCTATCCCCTTTTTTTAGTCTTTAAGGTAATGTTCACAACCATGAGTGAGGTCAAACTAAAACCTTTGTAACTTCATGTTGACGTTTTGCAATTTGCTTTGAACGGTTCGACTATATTTTTGACTGAGGTTGTTTCTGTTGGATTTTTCATATTTGTTCATATCATTTCACATCATCCTGCAAAGTGATTGATACATCAGTCTATCCAAAGCATAATTTATTGGCATTTTGTCTTCATAAAACCTAAATGTGAGCAGTATGTTTTTTGAAAGGCTTATTAAGATCAGTGTGTATTATGACACAGGCATGTTGAAAAGAACGGCACTTCTTGGATATCATTAGCACAGGAACTTGGAAAGAGTGAGATCCATTTAAAGGACACTTGGAGAAGAATCAAACCTAAAAACTTGAAATCAGGTACTGGTTGCTGCAATTCCGCTGTTTGAAGTTCAATATTTCTTTGCAATATGCTTGGCTTTTAACTTCTAAAAATGTTCACTTTCGGTATTCAAAAAAAATGTTCTTTTCTTTTGTGCATTCTTCCAGAATTCCTTTTCTCCCATTATACATAGCACTTTCTTGAATTGGTTATTATGCACGTAAAATGCTTGCGCTAACTGCAGGCTGACTCTGTACTGTAGTTAGTTTTTGTTTAGCTGTATAACATACATCAAATGTGGGACTTCGTGAGAAGAGGAAATCGGATATGAAACCTGTTGTCAAAACTTGTATCAGGAGTGCAGGCGTGGCAAACATGACTTGTACAGACCTCACAGTATTATATGTGCAGGCATAGCAGACACAACTAGGGTGGGCAAAAAAGACCAAAACCAAAAACCAAACCCGAAGTCACCTATGGTGCTTGGTCCATATATTTGTGCGGAAAGACTGGTTGTTTTTTAGGTTGTTTGGTTCTGTACGTCAGTACCCGAACTGCCTGAACCTCCACCAGTAGATGACGCCAACAGGCCCCAACTCCTCAAGGTCCCAGTTAGTTCTAGACACCATTCCCCATTCCATTTGCGTACTTCTCAACCCTAGCCGCCAGTCCAGCATGCCACCACCCCCAGGCGCATCGGATTGACAGATCAGGGATGCAGAGGCGAGGCGGTGACAGTGCAGGGGCAGAGGCTGCTCAGCTGGCGGGCTAAGGTGGTGAGGCATGGCCACCTGGGGGTGTTGCTGCCTGGGAGGTGTAGGTTGGGCAGCTGGCATCGACAGCCAACGAAAAGGGCTGGAGCAAGCTAGTTGTAGTGCCAGAGGCAAGCAGTGGATGCCCATTCCCTGGTTTCTCATATGTCAGTTTTTGTCATTTTGTGATTGGGACCTGTGATCTCTGACTTCTTTTTTGATATTTTGATTAGTTTATTTGTCTATTTAGTTCATAATTGTTGATTAAGAATCATTTCGAAGGCTGGCTTAATGACTTTGATATGCTCTGTGCTAAATTGATCAGATCGTGCAAGAACAAAGACTGGACTGATCGTTCGGTTACCCAAATTGTCGGTTCATGAATTTGTGTTGGCAGCATCGGTTTCTCCTTTCTGAAGACCTTTGAAAGGCCGAACTAACCGGACCGAATTTTCGGTCTAGACCGAATATCCACCCCTAGACACAACTTGTTACAAATCTGTCATATTTTGTTTTTCTAACTCTGAACACACTGGAAACTACATGCAAAAACTTCATAATACGGTGTTGATTACGAAATTGCATTTTCTACTTGAATTTCATTGTCAGTTGCGAGATTTTGCATTTCCATTAAATGGAAAGACAGTTTGCAGAGTAAGTTATGAAGGGTCCACTTGCGCTTCACTATGCGAATGATGTTTGATGCCTCTTGTGCAATGAATGCAACACAATGCAATCATATAAAGTAAAATGTATACCATGGTTCATAACTTTTTACTGTTTGTGTGTTCATTGGTTATATTTCAGGCCAGTGGACACAGGACGAGTACCAAAACTTGTTTGATTTGGTGAACTTGGACTTGCGAGTGAAAGCTCATCAAGAGTATGATGCTGGTAATCGTAAGGTAAAATTTACTACTGTTCGACTGTTCGTTGGTGTATTCCAGGCCTGCTGTAATATTTTTACAACTTTTCATACTGTACGTTAGCTTGCATATTTGGCACTGTTCATTATTATTTCATCCCATCATTCCTTGTTATGAAGTAATTTACTTGCTTTTTGTGACAGTTAAGAGACAACATTGCATGGGAGGCTATTAGTGATAAATTGACAACCCGAAATCACAAGAATTGCTGCCTTAAGTGGTTAGTATTGAGCTACCTGCATTCCAGTACTTTATGTTTTCTTTTCCCAGCTGATTCCAGATCTGAGGTGCTGTGATCATATCATTATCTGTGCATCACATCAGATTTGTCTGGGCAATAATAATACCTAGAGTGTTTTTAAAATGAGAAATATATATCATGAGAAAAACATATATTTTTCTTCACCTTAGGGGCATTTTAGTTATTTTAGGTCATAAAATTTGGTTGGCTTGGTATCTGTGCATGGTTAATACTTACAAGTGAAACCCCAAAACCAAGAGAGTAGTATACCTACGGTCTACGGTGCCTCCTTACATAGGGATCTACTTTTTCCTATTTTTTCTGGATCCTTTCCTGATTTTCGTACTCTTTCATATGCTGCTGGGAACTCATGCTTTCTATTGTCATTGGATCCATTGGTATATAGCCAGCAGGCTGCGGGCCAACCATTGCTGTTGCTTCTAATCTTCTGCTGTGGCTGTGCGCATTATTACATCACATTGATTGGCCTAGTCGTCAAAAGAGAGTGTTGCTCACAGGCGAAATTGTTGAGGTTTTATGGCAATGTGCATTTGACAGAACTTTAACTAATCGATCCCATCCTTTTTGTACAGCTAAACCTGCTCTATCTTGCATAAATCTTATGCTTCTAGATGAATTTGCTATCATCAGAGTAGGTTGTTTGCTTGTACTTGTACATGTCGAATTAATTCAATCCACACTTTCAGGTACTACCAGTTAGCATCACCACTGGTTCAGAAAGGCATCTGGGCAGACACTGATGATTATCGATTGGTGGAAGCGTAAGTTTGTACAGATTTTTACCAAATTCATTGTTCTTTTCAAAATTTAATGCTATGTCCTTTATACCCGAGAGTTCTAAAATAGTAGTTGTTTCAGTTTTAATCTGGTTTTTGTCGAAATGTCCTTAAGCTTATTGATGGTACGGTTTGCACTTATTTTTGTTGATATGGAAGTGTGCATGTATATAATACTACAAATATTAGAAGTACTATGGATTTTTCACAAATTTGAGAGTTTTTGCTTTGCCTATCCTGTTTATGTTACCATGAGGTCACAAATTTGATGAAGAATTGGAAACTAGGCTTTGATTTCATTTTCCCTTTTTTAATTACTGGCACTAGGGCACCTTAAGTTGTCTACCTTTGGTTTTAAACAAACGCACCGCTGACATAGAACCCAAGTAATGACTGATGAGTGTCAACTAATGGCATGAGAATCGGAAAATTTTTCTCTATTATTTGAAGTTGTCTATATGCTACACTATAATTTCATAGGAATCAAGGGAAATCCTTATCCTCAATGGGCATACTGCACAAGATAGCACATGCCATGACATGCCATTTAATTTATTGTGAAAGCTAATTTACAATTTAGGCTTTGCATTCAATGGACCGATGGAGCACATCTTCTCTTTCTTCAGAAAGCAGAGTTGGTCAGAAAGCATACTACCTAAACAAAATTCGATTGATGAGATGTTGAAATAGTAGATTGCTGTATTAGACTCTGATTGCTGCGATTGTTAATTAGTTTAAATGTTATTGATTTTCTTGGACTTTATTGGATTGGATTAGATAGTGGATTGTGTTTTTTTTTCAGTTTTAGGCCTCTTGTCTCCTCACGTTAAGTCTTGCTAGCATGAAATTTTATAACTAATCGCTGAATCTTCTTCCAGGCTTCAAAATGTTGATGCTGTTTGTGTTGAAGATATTGACTGGGATAACCTTCTTGATCACAGGTGAGTGCTCAAATATTTCTGATCTACCTTCAATCTTGTTTGTTCAGGGAAAAAAACTTCTTAGCCCCCTATAAAGTATTTGTTCTACGATTACTTTACCACCTCCTTCTTTAAAGTATGAAACCAGGTATTCAATCCCCTGAAGTATCAAACCCAGGTCAAATAATCTGCCCTACCCTGTATTTCAATGGAAACCTTGGGCTGCATGTCGCTACTCTTCATGCCTTTTTTTTTTCTCTACATTTGTATAATCGTATTAAGGAATTTAAGTTCACTATGGATGCACAATAGCATGTGCACTAGTTAAATGTGGGTTCTTTCATGCTGACCAGTTTGATTGCACCTGCCAGTCTTATAATGTGGAGACAGTAGTGCAGATCAGCAAGGTTTATTTTTTTGGTAATGAATGCAGATATTAGAGGCTTAGAGTTTTCCCTATAGAGGTACTTGTTACCTATAGTGATCGAAGTTGCATTCGAGGTATAATATTTGACTTGGGACTTGAAGAGAACCATACATTTTGCACTGTTGAGCAATCTATCTTTTTTTTTTCTTTTTGCTGAAAATATATGACGTTCTGTAGGCATTACCAAGAACCTATTTAAACCTTTTGAAATTGGCATGTATTTCCATGTGCGTTGAAGTTTGGTTCCATTTGGTTACAAATTTATAATAACGGAGTATTTCATTCACTCTACTAGGTCTGGAGAGGTTTGCCGTCAACGATGGAACGAGATGGTCCGCTATTTAGGTGGCCACAAGGAGAAGCCCTTCATTGAACAAGTGGAAGTGTTGTCGAAGCGCTACTGCCCAGAAATGGTTGACTATAGGGAAGGGGAAGCGTAGGAAATGTCATCCACCAAAACCTTCCCAATCCGTTGAAAGGATAGCAATAGCCGTCTTAGTTACATCTCGCCTCGTTCAAAGGATAGCATTAGCCGTCTTACATCTCGCCTGTTGTTGAAATGTGTTCTGTGGCCTGTACAAAATGTTTGGCTTTTGGAATGCATGGCACTGATGTTTAGCCGCCCAATGCACTTGGGAATTGTTTGGATAGGCCATCTATGTGCACACGGGCGACGACACTCATCCAGCAACCAGGGCACCCCCTACCCCCTCTCCCCGGGCCATGGTAAGCATGGCTGTGGCGTCCAATCATCTTCGTATGGAAAGTGCTGAACATTACGATTTAAACTATGATGGATGGAGTCATGAACCCTGTAATTTCGTCACACCACAGGTGCATTCTTTGTTGATCTGCCTGCTTTTGTGATCTTCCGTTTTCTTTTTCAGATTTTTGTGACTAAGATCCTACTCATGTTTTAGCCATTCCTTTTCATTATTGTACATGTTAAGTTGCCCAGATACTCTCTCCGTCCTGAGATAGCTATATTTTGGTACTCTCTTCATCGTTCTTAAGATAGATATATTTTGGACTGCAGTGGGAGTATCATGGATTCATGGTGCATCTGATATGAAACACTTCCCATCGTCCCATGGCACATCTGAGATGTCGCATCAATTTACAAAGGCCCTATCCTATTGCCCTTTTGCATGTCCGTTTGCAAAAGGACTCGTACAGTTCTACTAGTGTGCTAAAAAGCTAGTAATGCACTGGAAGCTACCTTCTAAAATATGGGTGCGCTACAAACCAACTTGAACATATCAAAAGCAGATGTAGACTATATAAAGCACAAACCTGCGGACACGGGCACCCGTGAAAGACTTGCCTATTGATTGACCCGTCTCCATCAATATAGTGAGTCCATAGCATTTCCCCTCTTCCCAATAGCATAAGCACGAACCTTCTTGTAGTGTCTATCCAGCAAAAGAAGAGAAAACATATGCTATAGTGAGTTTCTCTCAGGCCATGGCTGATCTGAACCTTGTGTTCTTGTTCTTCCTCCTCTTGTCTCCTCCCATCTTATCCGGTCACTCTCTCTCTCTCTCTCTCACACACACACTCTCTCTCTCTCTGCTACTTGTTGCTCCTGACTCCAGTGAGTGCTTTTTCTCTATATCTGAATCTCTGACGAGTCCTTGTTTTTCTGTGTTGTGGCTATGGAATTGTTGATCAGATGGGGTGCTTCAGGTGATGGGAACATCGATGAATAGGAGGAGCTTGCTTCAGGCCAAGGGTGGTACGTATGGCCTCTCTATAACGACTTCTCTTCTTTGCACACAGCTCAAATGCTCAATTAGTTCTTTGTTAACATGGTCAGACCTTGTTAGCAGACTTATTATCTGAACTTGTTAACATGGTCAGGTGATGTGTACTTCTTGTTAGCAGAACTTGTTAGCAGACTTGTAATGTCACACCATAGGCCTCTATTAGTTCTTTTACTATTAAGGCAGTTCTGAATGATTTTGTCCAAGTTATTCATTCTAATGTATTTAGTCCACAGAGTTAGCGTACATGTTCGGCTGTGTGCACTCTTGATTCCGATTATATAGTTTAATAGTAAAAGAGAACTGGTTTCTGGTGGTACATCTAGAAAGAGAACTGATGAGGCCTCACAAGCTTTACTCCCAGCAAACAAGAGTAATAACTTGGTACCCTTATAATTCACTGGCCTTTCCAATCCCCCCTACAACTTAATTTAGTACGAAACAGTCTCCACAAGTTTATTTTCTCTTCCAACTTTTCACTTCTATCCAGTTTGCAGCATTTTCTCACGCCTTGGCCATAGGCCTCTATTGTGGTGAGGGAAGTTGCCCCTTGCAACCAAAGATGTGTACTTCAGCCTCCTTTAACCTTCTTTTTTTTGCACACTTTAATTCCACCAGCGTTATGGCATTAAAACCACGACAATAAACACATACCACATAAACAGTGTATCAAATCTCATACCCAATAAAAGAAGTGTTGTATTAAATTGATATAGGGGCAAATTTGCTCGCTACACTGGAGGTCCACAGGATGCCACAAATCGCTAACACGGCGAAAAATCAATGAAAACTAGATAGAGGTGGGAAGTTAGAAGAGAATATACTTATGGAAAGTGTTTTACACGAAATTAAGTTATAAGGAGGATATTGACTTGTAGGTGTTATTTGGATTTTCCCCTAAGCGAAAACTGTTTGGATTACGGACAGAAATTTGTCAACAAGGAGTTCATTGGATTTCTTAAACGGAATTGCTATTTTTTTGTCATAAGTTTTCTTAAAGGACGTAACTACACAGCTAGTGGTAGTTAGTTTGTCTAAATCAGCTACCACTCCATCTATAAGAGACCCTATCCACCTATACTTCAAATAAATTTTTCTCTTAAACTACTCATCCAATCTATGATCCGATTACATCGTTGTGTTCGTAACAATTAAATCTTTATAATAAGATCTCACATGATTATATTTTGATGAAAAATTATAAATTACTTTTAGATTTCACTAAATTACTTCTTCGACATATAAAAGTAAATTCAATAAAGCTCAAAAGTAATTTACATATATTATAGAAGTAACTTATAACAAAAAGAAAGTAACTTAATGCATACCTTTTTTTATTGGACGTAACTACACAGCTAGTGGTAGCTGGTTTGTACTCTATCTAGCTAGTGTTTCCTTTCAACTTGAAAAATGCAATAGTATGTTTCCGTTTTGTTTTAAAATACTTTTATAATATATGTAAATTACTTTTAGACTTTATTGAATTTACTTTTATATGTCTAAGAAGTAACTTAGTCAAATCTAAAAGTAACTTTTATATATATATATATATATATATATATATATATATATATATATATATATATATATATATATATGATAAAAGTAACTTATGTATATAATAAAAGTAATTTACAAAAATAAATATGTTTTCATCGTAATATAATCATGTAAGATCTTGTTGTGAAGATTTAATTGTAACGAACAAAATGGTGTAATCGGATTGTAAATCGGATAAGTAATTTGAGAGAAAACTTTATAAGAAGAAAGAAAAAGACATGTATGTCTAAGAGGAAAAACAAGCATGCACGTTAGCACGTGTAGCAGTCCTTCTCACAAATTGGTTCGTCGCTGGTTAACGCTAAACCGAGAGGCTTCTCGGTTTATATTTTGCCTTTCTTAGAACCCGTTTGCTGAGTTATGAGAGGAAACAGAGCCATCGTGGTTTTCCTAAGGTGGTTGCTCCTTTTATTACGGAACTAGATCCTCCACATGAATAATTCTGTACACCCAAAACAAACGAAATAATAGCCTAAAACCTGTTTTCTCAAAAAACATTCATAAAACCAGTTCTTTTTTCTGACATACCTCTAATAATGCTAGCTTGGCATGTTTGAAAAGCGCTATAAAATAGATATTACAAATTGAAAATATATCTAAGCTACCGGCACACACACCGTGCACACCAACTATGGACCTTTACTAACATCATTTCTCTCTATCTCTCTCTCAGGCTGCCCTGTGAGCTTTGAGAACCAGAACTACACGACCATCACCAGCAAGTGCAAATCGCCATGGCCTGCCGACCTCTGCTGCCCAGCTCTGAACGAGTTCGCATGCAATTTCAGCCAATATATCAACGACGAAAGCACCAACTGCGCAGAATCGATGTGGGTCTACCTCAACGCCCATGGAAGCTATCCAGCTGGCCTGTTTTCAAACGAGTGCGCAGTGCTTGACTGCAACGGTAACAATAGCACCATTAGTACTAACCAAACTGCTAATGGAAGCGGCACCCGAGGGGCTAAAGGAATATCAGAGATGTACTCACTTGTGACGACCTTAATTGTATCTGGACTCCCGGTGTTATTGTTCTACTGAATGAAGTACTCTCTCCGTTTCACAATGTAAGTCATTCTAGCATTTCCCACATTCATATTGATGCTAATGAATCTAGATAGATATAGAATGACTTACATTGTAAAACGGAGGAAGTAAGAAAAGATACACTATCACACAGAATGGACATGTTACAGTTGTGGTAATAAGTTGCGTTTCAGCATATATATACATTACGAGATAAGAGTACCCCCAGATTTCCTTTTTTTTTTCTTCTTAATTTTCTTTCATGGCATTTACACTCATTCAATACATGTGGATATTTTTTTTCTTCTTTTGAGCAATAATGCTTCTCTTTACTCTTGTAAATTTATGAACTTTTGGTTAAGCTTTTTTTTCCCTCTACGGCTTCTTTTACGAGAAACGGGCGAGAGAGGCTCCTACTATGTTAAATTCAAATTAAACATATTTAGATGATATGTAAAAAAAATTAAAAGAAAAACAGTTATGCGAGATTGTCTATCCATGGTTGCCAGATTGGTTTATCTATCTCCTTTGCCTATACAAAGGTTAAGTCAAAGTCTTCCATGCAAAACTTCTTCCAGTGTTGGACAGATTGTTGTACACCATTGTAAACAAGATCATTGCTTCAGGTCCAAATGTTCCAACAAGAATCCCCACAACATTAACAAACAAAGGGTGCCCAAATCGATGTTTGGTTGTTTAATACCACGTGGAAAATCTATTGTCACTTGACTCTCTCATGGGATATATAGAGAGAGTACATATGAGGTAGAGATTATTGCTTCGGCTCCAAATGTTCCAACAAGAATCCCCAACCTTAACAAAGAAACGGTGCCCAAATCGATGTTTGATTGTTTAATACCACGTGGAAAATCTAGTCAGTTAACCCTCTCATTGGGTATATATAGAGAGTACATATAAGGTAGAGACTTGGAGTACATGATAAGTTAGGATAAATTTGTCTCTAGGACTCTATCTTTATCTTGTATTTAACTTTTATTTCTAATCATACATATATATACTTCTAACATGCAGTATCTTCATGAACTCCAATTGTAGGTCCCATTGAATTCCAACATAATGCCAAATAACTTTGTGCGAAAGAGTAGGGGTGGGCATTCGGTCTAGACCAAAAAATTAGTCCGGGTAGTTCGGTCTTTCAAATATTCGGTCTTCACAAATTGAAAACCGAAGTAGCGAACAAAAATTAGCGGACCGAACAATTCGGTTAACCGAAAGTTCGGTCCGGTCTTCGGTCTCCACCGAATCGACCGAAGATAGATGGACTGCGGAGAGTCGGAGATCTGGTCTCATGCGACGACCTGGAAGCAGGCGGCGGTGCAGAGGCGGACTGCAGGCGGAGGCAGGAGGCGACGCAGAAGCGGGCAAGCGGCTGTGCGACGAGCATTAGCCCGGGCTGCTCGCGAAGGCAGGAGGCGGCGCGGAAGGCAGCGGCATGACGACTGACGAGCGGCCCGGCCGGGCAGGGCGCAGCTGCCAACCGCGCAGGCTGCAGGCAGTGGCGCAAGAAACCAGGTTCTAAGCGGCATGGAGGCTAGGCGCGACTACTCATGGGCAGCCGAGCAGCGCGGGTGGGGATGCGAAGGCGGGCGGCTGGGGCACTCGGCTCGCCGTAAATTTGATAATTTGACATTTATAGAAAACTTATTTGAAAAGTGAGCCGTGTCAAAAACTTATTTAAAAAATGAGCCATTGGCTCAGCGCCACAAACATTGACGCCAAGATATTATCCGAGGTGGCACGAAATTACCGTGTCATCAGAGCTCAGCGCCACTGCGCTTGGCGCTGAGCTGTCTACTAGATAAAAGGGCCAAAGGCTTTTTTAGATAGCAACACATGTTTGGTGAAGTGGTGTAGTCCCTTTTCTCTTTCTCAAGATGTCTCGGGTTTGAGTCCTCCTTCATGCAAATTTTTGTTTTCTTTTCTCAGCTGCTACAAGTACTCTCCTGTTACATATACTAGGTCTTGTTTGGATTGTTTTATTTTTTAAAAAACAAGTATACTATATATTACGGCTTCGTCCAATTTTTAAATAAAATTAGAAGAGTAGGGTTAGAAAAGGTTTAAAAAGAGAAAACGAATGTTCAAGGGATTCGAACCTGGGACTTCCACGATGAGATGAAAGTACTACTCCACCACGACCACGTTACACTTTGCAAAAGTAGGATTGCACAGATTTTTATACGGTAAACAGCTCAGTGCCAAGCACAGTGGCGCTGAGACTCGGATAATATCTTTGCGCTAATGTTTGTGGCGCTAAGACATTATACCTCAGCGGCGCCATTAGGTATGGCGCTGAGCCAATGGCTTATTTTTGAAATAAGTTTTTGACACGGCTCATTTTTCAAATAAGTTTTTTTTTTGAAAGGATCAAATTGTCAAATTTACGGGCTTGGCTGGAGCCTTGTGCATTGTTTACGTGTGATTGGATATACGATTTTGCTATATATTTGTCGACAAATTTTTTTCCAAAAATTTGACAGATGTAATTACAGTACAATCGTAGTGTAATTACACTGTAACTTATATGTAATTACACTGTAACTTGCATGTAACTACAGTGTAACTTATATGTAAGTTTCACATAATTTTGAATCGTTAGATCTAGTACAAGATTTGTTTTGGTGAGGAAGAAAACAAATCATAGCACACACATATATGAAAGAATTTGTTCCCACGACCTCCATTTTACCGAAATAACATGTTACGGAGAGAGTTTTGAAAGTTACATACAAGTTACACTATAGTTACAGTGTAATTACATGCAAGTTACAGTGTAATTACACTACGATTGTACTGTAATTACATCTGTCAAATTTTTGGGGAAAAATTTGTCGACAAATGTATAGGCAGTCCCCTAATAATCAATAGCTTATAAGTTGAGACACATGACTAAAGCGATAAAAAGTAGTACTTCACCCTGAGTAGGTCGTCAATCCCATTATAGTAGGAAGTCAAATAGCAAGTGGAGAATGTGAGTAGACTTTATCGACCTCAATAGAACGTGTCCAAAGAATCATTTTTTCCTCCCTAGGATAGACCAACTAATTGATTCTACATTTGGACGTGAAATGTTGAGTTTTCTCGACACCTAGTCAGGCTACCATCAGATTAGCATGTCTAGGGAAGATGAGGAAAAAACATATATTGTTATGCCCTATGGTATTTTTCACTACGTGAAAATGTGTTTTGGGTTGACAAATGCTAGAGCTACCTATCAACGGGAAATCCATGGTGATTTTCTATCCTAAATTGGCCACAATGTTGAAGCTTATGTACTGGACGATGTGGTTGTGAAGATGAAAACTCAAGATTGCTTGATTGGAGACCTCTAGGAAACATTTGACAATCTTCGGAAGCATTGTTTTAAGATAAACACGAAGATAGGAGATTCAAACTCCAAACTCTGAAAAATATTGATGATTATACTAATATGATATCAAGCATTGTGCATTTCGTTTAAACAAGGAGGATTCCCACGTGATGAAAAGGGTAGGGATTTATGAAAAAAAAAGTAAATTATGCTTTGGGCTATATACTCTCACCTCTAAGTTTCACTTTTAGGGCTGATTTGGTTTGAGGCCCTACCAAAATGTTGGTATGGCACTACTAAATTTAATAGAGTAGATTTATTACCATTTAGGAAAAATTGGTCACAATCCAAATGCTATTAAAGTACTATTTGAAGCTACCAAAATATTGGCATGGCACAAATTGGCACTAATCCAAACATGCCCTTAGACCATGTATCTTGTTAGTAAATGTTGCACTTTGGACTAGGCGGGCCACATGTAAGTGTGACACATGTGGGCCACCAGTCCAAAGTGAAAAGGATCCTTCCGATATGATTCAAAGTGAAAATTTGGTAAGAATGTGTGGTCAAAGCACAATTTACTAAAAAATAGTTGTCACATTAGCATCTCCACCATAAGCTCCTAAACACAGAAAATGTCACACGTTGAGCGTCCGACATAGGCTAAAAGGTTGGACGCTCTCCTACCTTTCTTTTCTTTATCCTTAAATGCTACATGTGGCTGCTACCTCTACTCTTTGTCTTCCTAGTACATATTATATGTATGCATGCATGTAACTTTTTCGAAAGATTAAAGATATTTTTTCTCCTACACTATTTGTTCAATCTATATTTTGATAGCGAGATCTCGCACACCTATATTTCGATAGAAAAAATATTTGTTTTAATCATTAAGTTTTAGTATTTCGTACACAATTAAACAATTGTTTTAACTGGAATTCGACTATGTTGCAAACTTTAAGTTCTTTTCTGTTGTAATAAATCCTGTTGAATGTCGCACATGATATTGTTTAGATGTTTCAATAAGTATATTATGATATTTTGCTAGTTTATTTTATGATGTTTCACATGAATTTTTCAATGTTTCGCTAGTTGTGACGCAATGTTTCACATAGTGGTTATCGGTGTTTCAGTCAAACTTTTGTGAACGTTGCGTCTCTTTGAAATATTTTATGAAATGAGTTGAAACACTTTTTAACACATGATGAAACAATTTTCTATAAATGTTGAAACACAAATTTTTTAGACATATATTTTTCATAAAAATATAATCATGTGAGGTCTTGTTATAACTATTTAATTGCAGCAAATATAATGGTGTAATTAGATGGTAAATCGAATAAAAAGTTAATGAGAAAAAATGATTTAAAAATTATTAGTATTGGGTATGTATGCATGCATGGGTGGACATACATGCATGCAAATGTATATTGTCTTTAGTTTTGGAGAGGGCACGCTAGAGTTGGGCGTTCGATTTTTCACTTCACGTCAGACGTTCGATGGGCAGCACTGTAGCTTCCTCCCGTAAGCACAGTCCCTAAAAATCATTTTAGGGGTTAATACAAAAATCAATGTTTAGCGTAGCTTCTACGGCAGCCCCAAGATAGGAGGGCCTCCGAATTCTTCTCCACGGCCCCTGATCCTGGGGGCTCTAGACCCCAGCACCCATCCAGCCGGGGGAATTTCCCGCCTTCCCGCGCTGTCTCCACCTTCCTGATCTCGCCCGCAAGCACTAGCCGAAACATCACAAGGGTGGTTTTGCTCCAGCCGGTACCATCCCTGGCGTCCCAAGCAGATCTCAGGTCACCTTCACGTGAGTGAATCCCCAATCTCCCCATTCACCACATGCTCTGGCGCTGCTCGGTTGCTCCTTGCACATTGGTCGAATGCGAGATCCGACGGCCACCTCCTGCATGCAAGGACCATCGGCCACACGCGACGATTGATGCCCTAGCTGGCCCGCATCACCGCCACCACTACTATAAG